GTCATGATGGGGTTTGTTGACAGTGTTATTATTACAGGGAGGTGATCACTGGAGGTGACGTCATCTGTGGTAATGTGGTAGTGTAGGTGTGCTATGTGGTTCGCGAGTACTATGTCAGGTGTTGTCGCTGCGTTATGTGCAATGTATGTTGGTGTGTGTGGACCGAGGTGTGTGAGTCTTCCTTGTTGTATGTAAGAGGCCAGGCCTCTGCCAACTGCATTTGTGTCGTTGTAGCCAAAGAGTGTGTGGTGGGCGTTGAAATCTCCCATGATGTATATTGGTTTGTTGTGCCTCAGGAGCTGCAGGATGTCAGGTTCGGGAATGTATTGTCTTCGTGGTGGTATGTATAGTGTTGCCAGTATGATGGGTCCTTGTGGTGTGTTTACTTCGACTGCCAAAAGGTCTGAGGTGAAGTTATTTATGATTTTGTGAGGTATGTCGTTTTTGATCGCAATTGCTACGCCATCGCTTCTTTCCTGTGATTGGTTGGAAGAATAGACAGTGTAAGTGAAGATCTTCAATGGAGTGGTGTTATTGAGCCCATGACTGTTTATGAGGATGATGTGTGGGTCGTGTTTCCTGTATGTGTTACAGAGTTCTGTTTTGCGTGTTGGCCAGTGTAGTACGTTGTGTTGTATAATGGTGAGGCGTGAGTGTAATGTATGGTGTCCCATGTGTATTGTGTTGTTATTGAATGAGGAACCCATTATGAATAGCGTGCATGTTGTCACAACGTTCAATCATTCCGTTGGTGACCTTTAAGTTACCGTCCTTTAAGTGTTGGTGTAGTTTCTTTATCGTGACCACGATTGCATGCTCCTCTTTCGTCAGTAGCTTTATTCTTCCTTGGCCTATTTCATAGCGATCAGAGTACTCGTATTTTTTTGGATTTTCTGCAAAGAGGCGGATGCCGTAGTAGGTAGGGTCTGTGGCAGTCCCATCCATGAGGCGTTCCATCCCCTCGTCATCGACGTGGCTGTGACCTGGTTCGGTTTGGTCAGGTGTGGGTGGTGGGGGACCAGGTGTGTCGAGAGGGGTATCACTGAGGATATCCCTGGTTTCAGCCTCTGAGGGGATGTGTATGTACTTTGGCCTCACAGATGGGCCTGTGGTGGGGGGTGCGGATGTTGGTGATGACTCCTGGGGAGATGACTGGGGTGCAGCTGTCTGGGCCTCAGCAGGCTGAGGCTCTGACATCTGGGCAGGCTGGGGCTCCTGTACCTGAACCCGTACAGTCTGAGGTCTCTGGGGCTGAGGTTGTGGTGCCTGAACCTGTGAAGGTTGAGGCCTCTGGGGCTGGGGTGGTGCCTGAACCTGTGGAGGTTGAGGTCTCTGGGGCTGGGGTTCAGGAGGAGCCTGGATAGTCATGGTTGGGGGCTCGATGACTTTGAGGATTCCCCAGGAGTTTGAATCTCCGAGATCGAGATCAGGGAGATTGTTGTTTGCCAAAGCTGCCTTGGCATGGTGTCTGAACCCTTTCTCAGGGGCAATGAGGTTCTGAAGGTGGGCGTGGAGAAGGACCACGAGTATCTCTTTGGAGAGATTATCAGGGAGGGCAAGGTGGATTGTGGGATCAGGGGTCTTTTGCTTGATGTCCTGACGGACCTGGTTTATTAAAGGCTTCCAGGCATTAGTGGTAGCCTGCACAGTCTCCTGTGCTGCCTTTTGGGCCACAGCCCTGATGGGTCTGGTCTCCTTCTCCTTCTCCTTCTCCTTCGACTTCTCCTGAGAAGTCTTCATTGCCTCCTTTCTCATGGGGCAGCTATTGGCAAATGTCCTGTGGGCACCCCCACAGTTGAGACATTTCTTAACTTGACTTCTACAGTCCCTGAATGAGTGGGTGGAGGAACCACATTCAGTGCATCTGGTCTTTTCTCCTCTTTGCAGTGGTTTTTCAGGTGGCCATATCCAAAGCAATTCATACATTGCCGGATAGGGGTGTACCTTTCGAACTCTATCTGCCAGGGGGCAACATACAGCTTGAAAAGGTACATCCCCTTCTCCTTGATTGCTTTGGCAGTGGCATGGTCGGTGAATCTGACTTTGATGATGTGGTTGGCCTTCATCACAAAGATGTTGTCAACCTGGGCCTCTGGGAAGGCGGCAGTGATCTCGTCCTCGATATCGAGGGGGATTCATTAACGACCTGACGGTCCAGTTTTTAAAGACAAGCGTGAGCTTCGCCTTCATGTCCACAGGTAGGACGGGGGAGAAGCCAAGCTTCTCCAGAGACAGGACGACATCCTTTGAGAAGAGTTTCTCGGCTTGGATGTCGTCGTCGATGAGGGCCAGGTATCCATCCTGGATAGCTATGTACCGAAGTACTCTGATCTCAGCACCATAGAGTGCATTGGCGAGCAAGTCGCGTTTCCTCGGTGAGGGACCACCGAGGACTTTGATCTTAATTTTGGCCATGGTCGGGGGACATAAGGGTGGCAGGGGTATGCAGGTGAGGTGAGAGAGGAGAGGAGAAGGTGAAGTGAAGGTGAGGTGAGGGTGAGGGTGAGGTGAAAGAGGTGAGAGGTGGGGTTGAAAGGGGTGATTGGAGAGCCTACACTCGACCCCCCCAAGTGACAGACTGGTTGCGTTCTCCAGTGCACTTGAGGATCGGAGCTTTGTGATGGGCCACTCCCTTATTGCCAATCCTTGCTACAAAGGGGCAACAGGTAAGCGGCGCGCCACCCAGACGAATACAAAAACCCACGGGGGGTTTATGTAGGTCCAGGTGACCACAAGAAAGGAAAGGAGTTTAGAGAGAGGCAAAGCGTACCTAGATGTCGCCTCAGACTGCTGGGCCTCACTATACAGGTTGCCCTGTGATAGTGAGAGCTGCGGGTCTGGGGAGAGGTACAGATCTTCCCGTATCACCGTTAATAGCTGAACAAGAAAACACCTTGAAGAGGCGAGTGGCAGAACTCTGCAGAAGCAGAGTTATTTACTTTACGGAATTACGTTAATGAGCAAAAATCAGTGCAAAAAAGACCGCGGCGCGACTGAGGCCCCGGTAGACCAGGGTTGCTCAGTGACACTTTGGTTTGTTCTTTTTGGCATGAACTTTTACTCCTTCGCAATGACTAGGTGATGGTGGGTCATAGTTGCGGCGGCCAAAGCTTGGTATTTATAGGTGGCTCCAGGTGAAACGGTCTCATTGGGACATGTGGCAATGCGGGATGGCCGGGGATTGAGCCAATAGCGTGGCCCACGCTTTCCTTGGCCAGCCGAGGCTGGCGCTGGTGGTGCACTATAAAAGGAAAAATCATAGTTTGGAGTTTATAGCAATACCTCTTGCGAGTGTTGTCAATCATGCCACCCAAGACTTCCGGAAAGGCTGCCAAGAAGGCCGGTAAGGCCCAAAAGTCTATCACCAAGGGTGATAAGAAGAAGAAGCGCAGGAGGAAGGAGAGCTACAGCATCTACATCTACAAGGTGTTGAAGCAGGTCCACCCTGACACCGGTATCTCCTCCAAGGCCATGTCCATCATGAATTCTTTCGTGAATGACATTTTTGAGCGCATTGCCGCTGAGGCTTCCCGCCTTGCCCACTACAACAAGCGTTCCACCATCACCAGCCGGGAGATTCAGACCGCCGTCAGGCTTCTGCTCCCCGGTGAACTGGCCAAGCACGCTGTCAGCGAGGGCACCAAGGCCGTCACCAAGTACACTTCCTCTAAGTAAATTGCTTGGTTGCTCGGTTTCTCCGGTCTCCTACAACAACATCGGCTCCTTTAGGAGCCACAGAACATGCAAAAGTAGATAGAAATGACATTAACCAATTTGCCTTGTGCATTCTTTCAAAGTACAGTAATATCAACATATATATCAATGTAATATCGTTTGAATCGTTAGATTTCGAGTAAGGGATTCATTTTAATCGTTTTTACTGAAGTGTGTGTGTGTGTTTGTCTGTCTGTCTGTATGTATTAAGGATAGAGGAAGTGTGTGTGTGTGATATACGAGAGAGAGAGAGATGAAAGCTGTGTGTGAATATATATATAGATGTATAGAAATATATGTTGAAAGTATATATGCCTGTATATCATAGTAACATATATGTCTTCCATAATTAGAAATATAACACATGCATTATGCATATCATATAAATGAATAGGGTATGTATTAATGTAAGTGGGTGAATAGATTTATATTAGACATACATGTGTATGTATACAGATATATATATATATTTCATATATTATGTATATAGTTATATATTATATTATATATATAATGTACGTATATATGTCTATGTTGTAGGTGTGTGTGTGTATATTATATAGATAGATAGATAGATTTGTATAATTGTCAAGACATTATATTGATTTATAATATATAAAAAAAGCATGTGTCATTCGATCTTCAATGTTATATAACATTATTATTATACACATAAACAAGCAAACAAGATAAAATATGCGGGGATATAACACGTGCTTTAATGGTTGCCGCAAGCTTTGATTTGTAATTGTATATTTCTTAGTGTTTTATATAAAATATTATATAATATATTGGTTGAGGTAGGTTAGGTGGGTGTTTGGTGATTGTAGTGTTTATTGTTGTATATTGATTATTGCCTACACACAAGTGTGTTTGTTTGTTGAACTTTGAAGTCAGTCATTAACATATAGTTTCAGTCTGTTTTATTATTATATTTAGTAATGACTTATGTTTAAGACAGTGTGTGTCTGTATGTCTGTTTGCCGGTCGGTCGCTCGACAAATATTACAATGTATATTGTTGTAGTATTTAATATTTGGCATAGTACTCATACCGAAACGTATACGATAAGGAAATCAAGTGCGTTGACAACATGTTGAAAGTCAGTCATGCATGGCTTCGTGCCTTACCTTACTTACTAGTTGCATACCTATCTATCTATCTATCTATGCAATGTCATTGATTAATCGTCATTGCTGGTTACATTTGACATCAAAAAAACTAAAGCAAACAAGAAAAAAGGAAGCATGTCATGTTTTCATCTCAATATGATTAGTTTAGGCCCTGAAAAGGGCCGAGGAGGATGATTTTGATGTATGCAAGCAAGCTAGCAACCAAAATCTTAGGCGCGCTCTCCGCGGATACGGCGAGCAAGTTGGATATCCTTGGGCATAATGGTTACACGCTTGGCATGGATGGCGCACAGGTTGGTGTCCTCGAAGAGGCCGACCAGGTAAGCCTCGGAGGCTTCCTGCAGAGCCATGACAGCAGAGGACTGGAAGCGGAGGTCAGTCTTGAAGTCCTGGGCAATCTCACGGACGAGGCGCTGGAAGGGCAGCTTGCGGATGAGGAGCTCAGTGCTCTTCTGGTAACGACGGATCTCACGAAGGGCAACAGTACCAGGCCTGTAACGATGGGGCTTCTTGACACCTCCGGTAGCAGGGGCAGACTTACGTGCTGCCTTGGTGGCCAGCTGCTTGCGGGGGGCCTTGCCTCCGGTAGACTTGCGGGCAGTCTGCTTGGTACGAGCCATTGCGAATGATTGTTTGTATCTGTACAGATAGGAAACAGTCTGGCCGGGTCTTCAAGAGCTGAATTTATACCAGAGCGGGCTTGGCCGTGCGGAGAAGTGTGTGGCTGGCACAGTGTGCGTTGGCGCCGCCCATTTCCCCGGTGTAAGCAGGACCAGAGACCTGGCCAACTTTACCTGTGATCAAAGGAAATCCTTGATGAGAAATGGGACAATTAATACATGATGTCATCAACAAGGTGATTGCAAACATATGCGTGTAATGGGTCAGGTGACTTTTGATGGATTGGAAGGTGTAAACAAGTTTATTTGCTTAGAGCGGGCGGTTAAGATGAGCGGCCGCTTGATGCGGCAAGCCTGAGCGCTACGCGAGGGTAGGGAACAGGTACCATTGCTAGGGTTTGCCAGGGCGGATCCTCTCTCTTCAAGGTTAGGTTCTTGCCAAGTAAGAAGAAGTAACTGTCTCCGAGGGTAACTACGCCTATCCAGCAGTGCTGGGTGTCTCCGTTTACCAAGGCAATAAAGTTGCAGGTTACGTTTATTACCCTGGCAAATACGCCGAGAAGCCGATGTTGGCGCTGCCGTTTACCTAACCGGAAGACTTTATTATCAACTCTACAGAACTAGCTAGGAATAAAGATAGAAGAGCTTTCCAGATCCAGCTAGAGATAGAAATAGAAGAGCTTTTCAGGACCAGCTAGAGATAGAAATAGAAGAGCCTTCCATAGCTAGCTAGAGTTAGCAGAATCAAACAACGAGATGTTGTTAGGTTATCAGGTTGTATGTCAGGTTGTTATTAGGTTGTCAGTCTAGGTTGTGAGCCGTTTATTAGAGTCCCCTCACTGGTGAAGGTGAACCCCGAGGCAGTGCCACGAGGGGGGTCCTTAGGTAGGACTGCTTTAAGCCAGTGAGAAGGGTTTTTTTTCTCTTTACATACAGACTTATCCGGTAGCGGAAACGCTGTTGACCATAACGACGAGTCAGAGACAGCCCGCACTAGGTTAGTAAAACCGGTTATAGGTAGGATTAGGCTCTCTTAGAAAATGAAATCAAGGGAAAAAAGAAGAAAAAACACCAACTCTCCTATGGTGAGGCCAGAAGAGAGAAGGATGTCTGAAACATCATCCAATGCAACTATGGAAAAGAAATTGACTAAAAGTGAACCAACTAACTCTGATACCCTACAAGATGTAGAAATAGACATAACAACAGAAATTAAAAATGCTGCCTTGTCAAAGGACAAGCGTAAGAAGTCGATTAGCTTCAACTCTACCTCAGAGGAGGAAGAAATTGCATCAGTATCTAATACAAAAGACTCCGCTCCCTCAAAGAAAGCGAAAGTAAATGCAGAAAACTCGGAAACACAGATGAACGTGTCTCTGAAGAACTTGAACCCATGGACCATCATGATTTGGCACCAAATATGCCACCTGAAACAGACAACTCTCCTGACTTTGAAAACTTTAAACAAATGAAATTTGTTCTTAAACCAAATACAGATTTTCCCACTGCATACAGTGCACTGGTAGCCCTGGAAAAAGAAAAGAAAGACCTTGCAGTTGCCACCAAGGTAACACAAAGGAGTACCTTCGTACTAACACCAAAAACAGTCGACACTGCAAAATTCCTCTTTTCAGTAAAACTCCTCTCCACCAACAAGTTAGTTGATTTGGAGAGACTCATTCCGGAAGAGGAAATCAAGAAAACAATCCTGGTAGGATTTCCTATGGAATTTCCGGTGGATATTCTGCTAGATATCCCTAATATCACCTCGGCAAAGAGACTTGTATCACGATTAACAAAATTGGAAACAAGACAGATTTTACTCTCTGTCAAGGGAGAAATTCCAAATACCTTTGAAATCAGAAATCTAGGTTCATTTAAAACCAGAACCTACATACCTGAGCCTCTCAGATGTTTTAAATGCCAAAGATTCGGACACCACAAAGAACAATGTAGAGCTCCTGCTAGGTGTGCCATCTGCTCCAAACTACATGATACTAGCCAATGTTTAGAAAAGTATAAAAAAGGAGAAAATGTTCAGGCAAAATGCCCAAACTGCCAGAGCCATCACCATGCCTGGTCCCTCAAATGCCCTGAAAGGCATATTAGACTACAAAAGCCAAATAAACCTGACTTTGTCCCAAGTTCAATTCCACCAAAATCCCAATCAATTTACAATGGGAATCCTGATCAGAACCGGACACCAGTTGCCTCGAAGAATTTTACAAAGAAAATTACAAACTCAAATAGACTATACTCAAAAGTAGTCACAAATTCTTCGACAGAGACAATACACCCCATCCAAGAAAGACCTTCAGATTCACAGAGTACTCCTTCCGTTGCACCTCCCTCAGAAACCTACTCAAAGAATATTGATACTCTTACTTCCTCATTAGAACGAATAATGGAACAAGCCAACCAAATGATTAATCGTTTGGTCCAACTGATCAGCAATTTTAATTCGATAATGACAAATCTACCAAACATTATCAAGACCCAAGTACCCTCCTTAGATTTAAATCCTTCCTCACCGGAAGCATCATTCTCTCTCTCAGAGGTTGATGTAGTAGAATTTACAGAGGAACCTCTGGAACAGCTAAAAAGAAAACATCCTAATCTAGAAATATTTGCACACAGTAGTCAAAATGAAAGCTTAGCCGGAACTTCTCCTCCAAGAATAGAAATTCCTTCTCCTACAAACAACAGAACTAAGAACAATAACAAAAACGACTATGGATACTAAGAACAAACAAATTAAAATATTGCAATGGAACATAGGTGGATTAAGGAATCACCTACCTTTTTTTAAGGACTCCCTTTTCCTCCTTTCACGAGCACCTAAACAGCGACCATTCAGCCTTAATCATTACTATAGAAATACCTAGGATGAACTCCCCACCTTACCAACCAAAATGGAATACGCACAAAGCAAACTGGGGTAGATTCCAAAAACTCATTGAAATATGGGCTTCTTCCTATCAAATTGGTGACAAAACTTGATAAACTAGAAGAAGACTTCAAAACAGCAATCACAGAAGCTGCCAACTCCGCGATTCCATTATGTAAACCCTTTTCCAAAGAGCACCAGGATCACCGCCTTCGTTTAGGTTACAAATGTAACTGGGAGATTGCAGAGAGAGTTCTCAGAGAGTGCACCTACTGTCAGCAAGAGACCACCGAACCTCTTTACACTACCTTCTAAGCTGCAAAGTAATTGAACACCTTCGACCAGCTGAGTTCCAACTTACACAACTAGATGACATCGCCCTTGCAACCTCATCAGCACAAGAGTTCGCCAAAAGACTCTTAGAGAATACACCTCAGGACTTATTCATTTTTCCACAACCAAGAGGAATTTATAAACCAATCTTTGTTTATTTACATATGACAGTCAAGGTTTGTTTTAACACTTTAAATCAATAAATCAAATCTTTGTTTATTTACAAATAACAATAAATTTTTGTAACACTTTAAATCAAGAAATAAAATCTTTGTTTATTTACAAATGAAAATCAAGGTTTTTTGTAACACTTTAAATCAATAAATCAAATCTTTATTTACTAATGAAAGTCAAGGTTTTTGTAACACTGTAAATCAATAATCAAATCTTTGTATATTTACTAATGAAATCAAGGTTTTTGTAACACTGTAAATCAATAATCAAATCTTTGTATATTTACTAATGAAATCAAGGTTTTTGTAACACTGTAAATCAATAATCAAATCTTTGTATATTTACTAATGAAATCAAGGTTTTTTGTAGCCTTTTAAAAATAAATCACTTATGGGTAGCCTAGGGCTTAACCCGTGTCAGAGTAAATGCCTGACAAATCTTCAAAAAAAAAAAAAAAAAAAAAAAAAAAAAAAAAAAAAAAAAAAAAAAAAAAAAAGTCCGGATCCTCTCTCTTCAAGGTTAGGTTCTTGCCAAGTAAGAAGAAGTAACTGTCTCCGAGGGTAACTACGCCTATCCAGCAGTGCTGGGTGTCTCCGTTTACCAAGGCAATAAAGTTGCAGGTTACGTTTATTACCCTGGCAAATACGCCGAGAAGCCGATGTTGGCGCTGCCGTTTACCTAACCGGAAGACTTTATTATCAACTCTACAGAACTAGCTAGGAATAAAGATAGAAGAGCTTTCCAGATCCAGCTAGAGATAGAAATAGAAGAGCTTTTCAGGACCAGCTAGAGATAGAAATAGAAGAGCCTTCCATAGCTAGCTAGAGTTAGCAGAATCAAACAACGAGATGTTGTTAGGTTATCAGGTTGTATGTCAGGTTGTTATTAGGTTGTCAGTCTAGGTTGTGAGCCGTTTATTAGAGTCCCCTCACTGGTGAAGGTGAACCCGAGGGTGCCACCCAAAGGGGGTCCTTAGGTAGCTGCTTTAAGCCAGTGAGAAGGTTTATTTCTCTTTAACATACAGACTTATCCGGTAGCGGAAACGCTGTTGACCATAACGACGAGTCAGAGACAGCCCGCACTAGGTTAGTAAAACCGGTTATAGGTAGGATTAGGCTCTCTTTAGAAATGAAATCAAAGGGAAAAAAGAAAGAAAACACCAACTCTCCTATGGTGAGCAGAAGAGAGAGAAGGATTCTGAAACATCATCTCCAATGCAACTATGGAAAAGAAATTGACTAAAAGTGAACCAACTAACTCTGATACCCTACAAGATGTAGAAATAGACATAACAACAGAAATTAAAAATGCTGCCTTGTCAAAGGACAAGCGTAAGAAGTCGATTAGCTCCAACTCTACCTCAGAGGAGGAAGAAATTGCATCAGTATCCAATACAAAAGACTCCGCTCCCTCAAAAGAAAGCGAAAGTAAATGCCAGAAAACTCAGAAACACAGATGAACGTATGTTCTCTGAAGAACTGAACCCAATGAATAGAAACCATCGATGATTGCACACCAAATTATTTGCCCCACCTGCAAACCAGACAAAACTACTTTCCTGACTTCTAGAAACAATTTTTTAAAACCAAAT